TTAGTAACAAGGAGTAAAATGAAATTTTTAGGGCCAAGGGAATCTAGCACAGAGTCGCGTCAATACTTTTTGTGCAAAACTGATGCCTGGGCCTCCAGGTCACTGGTTCTCAGCCTACGTGCAGAGTGGCCCACTCTAAAATGCCTACAGGTGACTGCAGTGCACAGCAGGAGCCGGCAATACTGCCAAGGGTCACTAAAGTACAGCAGGAGAGGAGACCCTGGAGAAAGCCACTTAGCAGCCTTGCACTCTGAAAATTAATTTTTGCATGCTTCAGTAATGATCAGCAGCAATCATATATTGATATTAGCATCTGTTTCATATTTTTGTGAGGAGTAAAATGAGCTAAAAAATGCCAGCTGGAGTAGTGCCTGGCACACAGCAAATGATGTTCACTATCAATCTTTTCCATCAAGAATGGGACACAATGACTACAGGTTGGCATTAAATAACCTTGCTACATTTTTTGAAGCACATTTTGCTTTAAAAAGATGTTCAATAGTAACGACGATACAGGGACTAGAGAATTACAATTATGTCTAGTCTCCATTTCTTAAGAAACTAGCCAAATTCTATTGTAAGTAACATGCAAATAACATTTGCAGAGCAACTTGAACATATATTTTAGCAACTAAAAATGGTATTATTAGCATCAGAGAGTTGACATACTGGCCACGCAGTTTATTGTCTCGCACCTTTGTAGGTTCAGTTTTCTCAAAAAGAAAAAAAAATCAATGTTTATCAGGTTAGCAAATGATTAGACATTAAAATATTTATATGAAGAATTTCAAGGAATGTATCAAAAGAATATTATCTTTTTCTCAGTTCATAACTCATGAAAATAGTCTCAAATTTAGAAAAAAATATGACCAAGTGAACTATAAATGTTAAAAGTGGGATCAAGAGACAAAAGAGCCTAACATAGCATATAATTTTTGTCATCAGTACTGTACATGTTTATTGAAGAACTATTACCTGAATAAAACTTGGCTTCATTGGAAACCAGATGACAAATGGCTTCATGGCTTATTTTACATGCAATACTTAACACTTTTAAAATTATTTTCTTCCATTTACATTTAGAACCTCAAGTTCTCAATTACTTATACAAAGCACATAATTTTCAAAGCGCATTACAAATAAGTATTTTTAGCTCTTGGACATTCAAATTTCAGTATTTTTCCTGTTGTAGAAAATGAGTTCAAGACAAAGGTCACCATTTGTAATTAATTATAATGTGCAAATTTTCACATATGGTATTAATCTTTTGATTTACTCAAGAAGTCAATTTAATTAGTTCCTTGCGAAATAAAAAAAAAATTATGTCCAAGGAATAGTAGGTAAACGTTAAGCAAAAACAGCTGTTACCTTTGTAGCAATGTCATTATGAGATTCAGCAGCTGAGTGAAAAATATTCATTCTTATTTGACCAGCAATAATGTTCCTGAGATTACATTTAATTTTAAAGTTTACTTCACATTTTCAATAATATTGCAATTGCAACATTACTTTTAGTTATTTTCAAAATAAATCTGTTTATAGCTATCACAAATGAAAACTCAAATTAACACCAACTGACTTGAGACCTCAGGGGCAGGGTCTGGGCCCAAGCATGGATTGTACTACAGTTGAGAAACAGTTTAAGAAAATAATAAGAAGAAAAAAAGCCTTTAAAAAACTAAAACATTTATCTCATTCTAAAATCTGTTCTATGCTCTTAGCAAATGTTTAATAGCTGGAAAACCCTGATCCTAATCCTTACGCTTAAAGAGCCTGCCATGACTTGGTCCCTACCGTCTCCACCTTTTTTTCCTACCGATACACTTTTATATTCTGTTCCTACCATAGAACGCATTTTTCAGTTCCCAAGTAACACTATGTTCCTTCTAGCTTGACAATTCCTTAGTTAGTTTCTACTTAGGGAAACAATTTCTGGTCCCACATAGACGAAATGAAGCCCAAATGCTTAGTGTTCTCATAATTCTATTTTCTTTACCTTAAAACTACATTCCACAATTACTAGTTGTTTAAATATGTATGCATAGGGAAAATATGTTTTCTTTATAAGTAACATGAGTAGCTGGAGTACTTGGAACCTTAAAGACACAACTTTAATTATTATTTTCCTAATTGAAGAAAAGGAGTAGAAAAGAGGAAGAAAAAAAAGAAAGGAAAATAAAGAAAAAACAGGAGTAAAACAAAGGAAAAATGGAATGAGGAACTGCAGAAGAGGGGAATCTACTCTTAAATGCCTTATACTCCTTGCAGAATTTAGGATCATAGTAAGAATTCTAAGATAATGTTCAAAAGAGAAGTTGGTTCTTCTTACTTCTTACTTATGATTTTGGACTCACTTGATCATAGTCCAAGAACTTTAGGCCTGCCATGGTGAAGGTTTTAAAGATTTCAAAGCCAGCTGTGGCCTGTGTACCACAGGTTCACCACCACTGTTTAAAAGACTATAAAATACCATTTTATGACATATAACTAGACTTCTGATTCCAAGATACTTAGATTTTCATGACAAGTTACTATTTGTAGAGTCCAAATTAAACTGATCTAAATATGCAAGTAATATTTTAATCAGGCAGAAAGCAACTACCTATTTATATTCCCCAAATACCCAGTTACCAATAAAAAGAGTACTTTACAGAAGCAAACCTTGAGTTATCCTGAGTAGTAGTATTAATAGCACTAAAATGATCCTGGAACAATGACACAATTCTTTGCATTGTGTTACACAGTTTAGAGACTTAACCTTTTAAAAGGCACAGTCAAGATATTAAAACACCATTGTTTTAACTACTCTAGTGCAAACATTTGTTTAAAAAGGAGTCCTGCCCCAGAAGTTGAACTTTTTAAACAAGAAAACATTGTTCAAAATGAAGATATTGGAAACCTTTAAAAACAAACTTATCAGAAAGCAGTTGAGACTTACACAAAGAAAATCCATTTTAAAACAAAAAATAATCCCCCAAAAACCCCAAATTTAAAAAAAAAGGGATACCAAAAAAGATACTCTAGCCAAGCCAAGAGGCATTTTCCATTCTGCTTTTCTGTAAATAAAAAGTTCAAAATATTGTTTAAACCAGTGAGTCATATAGAATGGAAAGACCTGAGCAGTCAGGTCACATGCAAGCTCTGGAAACTTACTTGAGTTTCTCCTCTTCACTCAATGTCTTCCACAGTTCTTCAATTTGTACAGTTGCATCCTCTAAACTAGTCTTAGGATTTTCTATGAGAAACTGAGCACGATGCTCTTGAGTAAAAAGGGCACTTGCAGACATGGGTTTCTTGATTACTCGATTGCTAATTAAATCATAGGCTGTGAGCTGTCCAGACTTGTTATCTATCACATTTGATTTTCTGTTACAAGGGCCATCACTGAGATTCTCTTGTTCAAGGCTGGAATGATTACTCTTGCTTACTTTATGTGCTAAACTTTCCTGGGGCACTAAAATTTTCACAGGTTCAATATTCTCTCCCATTGAATTCTTCAGAGCATTTCCCTTGCTCCAGTCATCTGCAGAGATTTCCAGAGACTTCTCAGGAGCTTCTGCTTCATTTTCCCTCTTTTCATCAATATGGCCTCGACCATCATTTCCTAGTTGGGCATGCTTAACAGAACTCACAAAACAAGTGTCACTATCTGCACTCTGGCCATCCTCTGATGGCAAGTTATTCATTGAGATTTTTTGGTGTGTATTTCTGGTGTCCTTATTAATGCTACAGTTTTCACTATTAAAATGATCATCACAATGTTCATCAATACTTATCTGCTGATTTAAATTATTAGTGTTTTCTCTTGATTCATCATTATGTACATCACTTGGAAAAGGAATGACTGAAGTATCAACATTTGGGTAATTATTTCCAGATGATTCCATTTTATTAAAGAGCACATCTGTTTCTGCTGTTTTACTAACAACCATGTCAATTGAGGAAACATCTGTTTTATTATTTTCATAACACTCTGTACTAGGTAGTGGTCCATAACAAGTTGTCATCAGATTTTCAAGAGCAATTAAAACAGATTCCTAAAAAATACAAATTAACAAATATTAAGAGATATTATGAAAATAATACAAAAAATTAAAAATGAAACAAGTTTTAAAATATAAAAACAGGCTGCAAAAATTTATAAATAGAATAGATACAAAAATTATCTGAAAAAGGTTACCTTATTCTGTAATAATACTTGACTTTTATCTGGTGTTAGATTTACATCCACATCAGTTGTAGGAACATCAATTTTCAGAAAGAAAATGGGATACAAACGAGAAGATTCCTTGAGGCACTTCAGATTATAGTACTGTCGGATTAACTAGAAATATATGTAAGGATCAAAACACAAAAGTATCATTTATATACCAAACTGCCAACCTTCAAATACCACCAAACCCAGCAGATTCAACTGAAACACTGAGTAGCTGCAACCACCCAGAAGGAAACCAGTGTGTCAGCAGGGCCAGTGGTCCCGAGGAGGCCCTGATCTCACAAAGCTCAAGCACTGTAAGAAGCACAGACATCCAGTGCAGCTGGCTTCCAGGCTAAAACTCATAGTGACATGTAAGGTTTGAAGGCCTTCGGTTCACAGCAAAACTGCTACTTTCTAGCTACTTAAGTAAGTCACTTAATATTTCTTTTCTCAGTATAAAAGGTGATAATTATGCATCAGTGCTATTGTAAAAGAAACATATTATGTAAATACCACCCAGAACAATGCTTAGTAAATTATCTGTTTATTGTCTTCTTTTCCTTGTTTTAGAGAAAATTCTACTAGCCATTCTTGTAACACTTTGGCAAATGACAGAGCTGATTTTAAATTTCTGGCCAAAGTGATACTTTTTTCTAAAAGTGGTTACCTTTAATATGTCTTTCTGATGGATGGGTCGATTATTTATAAAGATGAAACTTCTCTCTGGAGTCGAAAGACTTGTTGAAGAGTGATCTGCATCAAGCTTTGGAAGGAATCCACTTAAATGAATCTGTAATTATAATAAACAGTCATAAAATATCTGATATCCACATCCAATGGTCTGGCTGTACACAACACATTAAAAGACTTTAAAAAGTCAAAAAATAGATTTTTAACTTAAGACCAAGAGTTACAAACCTCATATTCTCAAGAATTAACCTTGAATAAAATACTGAAGTATACTAAACTCTAAAGAAAATGAACATTCATAAAATCTTCAGTCATACTTTTAAATATTTAACCATCTTAGGCCCACTGTACTCATTCTCTACTCAACTTTACCTTCTTTTCTTTTTTATAGTTTTTTCCCCCCATCTGGGCTTTCTTTCTGGCTATTTCTCCTTTTCTCTTAAGCATAAAGAAGTTGCTACAAAGTATACTACGAAGTTAATCTTACTGGACCTGCATTTCTGAGTTTTAGAAAAGTGTCTTTTATTCTTTGAATTAACTTCCTGGGGGCACCTGTTACACTTTATCTTCATTTTTGCTTAAAGAAATTTTCTGCAAAAATTTTAATCATTATTTACAAGTTGACTTTATGATACAAATGTACAAATGAGGAAGAAAAAAATGAAGGATACAAGAAAAGATAACCAGAGAAAGTGAGAGATTTAAGGGGTATGAGGAAGAGTTCATGTTCTTATCTTCTACCCTTAGGTAATTAACACAGCTAAGGATACTATACAAAATGTTAAAAATACAGGCCGGAGTTAGACTACCAGGGTTTGAATCGCAGCTTGAGTACTAACTGTGATTTTGGTCAAGTTAATTAAAATATAGGCCTATAATCTCTCATCTAAAAAACTGAAACAGTGTGTTATTAACCAGCTAAGAAACACCAATACTAAAATTTTTTCTTGGGTTAAAGAAAGCAAGTATGTCAGTGAGACTGCTATTTTTAGTTGACAGAAACCCCAAGGCTCCTTCCCAGTATAAGCCTGTAGGCTACCACCTCTGTCTATCACTATCCCTGCCCTTGGAATAAGTGTTTAAAGAGACGTGTTACCAGTTTTAGAACACTAAGTGCATTATTGTCACAGTGCCAACTTGTGCCAATTAGAAAAAATAAATTAATAAATCTGGATAATCCATTACAAAACGATACCACTTAATTAACTGTAAAATTTCACAGCATTTATAACTGGTTGTATAATTTAACCAGGTAACATGAGACCTTTCTTAAAACACCTGCTGGGCATCAGGGAAAGACTGTTTAAGATCCGAAACACCTACTTGGTGGGTGAATTTTTTTAAAAATCTGCTCTCCAATTGGGAGGGGTAAGAATAAAGAAGAAAGTGAAGAAAAAAACAAGTTGTTTCAGGCTTCCTTTCACACTACTTTATATGCTGTTACACTGTAGACGACTTTCAGACATTGAGCTTTAAAATGGTTTAGGATAATCTTAAAAAGTTATATTCAAATCATTTAGAACATAAAATAAAACTTCTCATAAATAAAATAAAAAAGACCAAATCAGTGCAACAAAATAAAAATGAGACAGGCCTTGTAAGATTCTGGACCTCAGCCTAGAAATGGAAATGTAAACTGAAGGCAAAGTCCAATCAAATACCGGTCCCCAGATTGCTTCTCAACTATGAGCTCTTTTTCCTCCCTCTTCAAACCCTTATTTTGGCTTCTCCTTTAATGACCAACTGCAGTCACCTTATTTGACTCTCTGAGGTCCCTGCCATCATAGACAGATGGAAATGTATGAATCCATTTCAGTGTTCTCTTGGTCTTTCTGCTTCCTTTACACATGCTCCTTGACTGGCTTCTCTCCTTTCCTTAGCTCTATAAATGATGATGGTCCCTGTGAATTTCATCATCAGATCCTTTTTTTTTTCCTAGCTCTCCAATTACTATAAATAATTTCAGTCACAACTATAGTTACAACAACTAGTCATATAAAACGGTAAGACATAGATACTGTAGTTTCTATTTCTCTCACTCCCAACTGCTTACCATCTACAACTGTCACAAAACTAGTCTCAAACTCAAAGCTTCATAAAATATGTCATCCCACTTCTCCCTGCTGCTCAATCGGCTCCTCCTGTCTTTGGTATAACAGAATCCTGCCATTTACACGTTGTGTCAAACCCGCCTCCTTTGCGCCACCATCACGTTGATACAGCCCTAATGGTCTCCCAACACTAATCCTTCTCCTCTTTCAGCCATAGAACCTTTGTAAAATGTGGAGTTTCATGTCTCAATAATTTAAAGATTCTGATAACAAGAGTGAAACAAGTTCATGTGAAAATTCCCTTCTCCATTCCAAGCACAAACTACACAGCAGTGACAAAATCAATTGCTAATTTAAAAACCCCTAACCACAGAAAACAATGACTTATGGATGCAAAACATGTAACGGAGTGACGGTTTAAGATAAAAGCCCTACGTGCTACATTATCAGACACAAGTTATGTCATTTGGAAATGAACTTCTGGAAAGAAAATAAGGAAACAAAACACTTTATGTAAGGCAGGGGATTGAAATTAGTCTTTCTGTTTGAATTAGGGAGCTCATATACCATCATCCCAGGAAAAAATAAATAAAACTTTAAAATGCTATGTGATCACTGTCTGGAGCTACTTGCCAGGGTCACAGGAAAGAACAGAGACAACTCTAAAACCAAGAACAAAGCTAAGCCAAACTGGCTAGAAAGAGAAGTCTGTAAAATCTTGGCTGGCCGAGGCATAAGCTGCTAATATAACACCTAGTTTTGAATTAGAGATGGACAGAGGAATATCTGCCAAACTATGGAATGGGAGAGGTAAGTGGGGAGAGGAAATAAAACAACAAAGCAAACCTGCATTCAAAATAATTTCAAAACTTAAAATTTCAAAGTATATAAAATACCACAGAATAAAGAATTTTTTCTCTGAAAAACAGAAACCACAGAGCAATACGGAAAAGACTCTGAGCAGTACAGTGATACCTTGGTACTTATTGCTAATTGGTTCTGGAAGGCATAATGAGGACCCAACAAATTGTTTTAGCTGAAAGGGACAACAAGTCAGAAGGAAATGGACCCCAACAAGCCTACTTCCACATCAAGTACCAAACAAATGACTGGGACAAAAGTTTCACATCAAAAGGCACTAAACTCAACAAGTTTCAGAGCAGAGAGGTAGAAAAACATGGCTATAAACAAATTAAAATAAGTAATCACAACTAAGTTTAGAGAAGAATATGAAAATAAATTCTGAATTCTAAAAACAAATACATAGTTCAGGGGTTAAAAATCAGGCACTACTGAGGAATTCGTGAAGAAGTTAGCATGGAGTAATGTAGAGATTAAACTTTCAAAGAGAAGACATCACAAGGAGCTCAGTCAGGTCAAAAGAGCCACACTTGAAAAATACCTAAAAAGCTGTCACAGTAGTGGCTCAGAGGAGATCATCATCCACAGGAAAGATGCCCCTCCCATTCAGGGTCCCTACAGATAAAAAATGGACTCTAACATTAAGTGAAGAGATATATAAAGATCACTGCTTGGCTCCTGAGTGGTATACCTAAGGACCTTGTGAAAATGCAGGTTCTGATTCAGCAGATCTGAGCTAGAGCCCAAGACTCTTTTTCTAATAAGCTTCCATTTGATATCAACACGTCTGTACACTAAATTAGTACGGCCAGTGCAGTGTATCTAGAGCATGAGCAACAAAGTCCTATGAAGCACAGGAAACCTGGAGAATTTAGATGCACCCTTAGAATCCTGAGTCAGTTACTGTAAGCAACAGAGTTCTAGGAGTCCTACAGACTTAAGTTAACAGCCAACAAAACAAAAGGCCTCTTCTCTAAAGAAACTAATGACAATGTGTCTTACCTCCATTTGAACTAATTTTATGCTAGAAGGGAAGAAAGAAAGAAAGAAAAGAGGATGGAGAGAGACAGACATAATTAATTTCTTTAGAACTAGAGCAGGATGGACACAGTATGCAGATCAAGCCCTAAGCCCTCAATGCTATTATGGCAATTGGGGTTCTCCCAGAACCTAGGAACACTGTAAAAAATTTGATTACACAGCCCTGAAGGACTTCGAGTCCACAGTCAATAAGCCCAGCCATCAACACCCAATTAGATTTCCTATTCATGGGGAAAGACAGAATCAGATACTCTGCAAAAAAGACCTCTTAGGTAAGCAGAAAAAGATTATTAAAGGAAGAAATACTCTAAAAACAAAGTCGTAGTATCTTTAGAAAAGGTTAAAACTTTATAAGAAATTATAGAAGAACAATAAACAGCACTTAGTGGGGCTGAGGCAGGAGGATCACCATGAGTTTGAGGTCAACCTAGACTACATAGTGAGTTCAAGCCAAACTGAAGCACACAGTGAGATCCTGTCTCAAAACAAACAAACAAAACAAAACAAAAATGTTTATAGGAGTAGAAACACAGCTGAGTGGTAGACCATGAGGCCTTACGTTTACTTCTAAGTATTGCAACAATAGCAACAACAAAATTATGTATGAAAATTTGCTAATATTAAGCTTGATGATAAAAATGTTTTACTGACAAAATTGAAAGAGGAAAAAGCAAGTAAGTGAGGGAAGTACCATCTATTATAGGGAGTCAAAAAGCACTAAAGCTGATAGACCAAGAAAAGAAAGTTTGAGTATATATTTACCACAGGTAAGGGAAAGAAAACATGAGCAAGCTCAATACCTTTACAATGTAAAAAAAAGGTAAGATTCTAAATTGAAAAATTTTTTTTTAAAAGATCAATCTAAGCAATAAAAAATAAAAGCAGAGATAGGAAAGAAGGTTAGCTCTCTATGTACTTTCTTTCCTACCTACTTTATATATGTATTTTGATAAATATGTCAAAAGAAAAACCTTTTATCCAAACTCTCATAAAGAGATATATTTTAACCACATCATTACCTAGTCAAAATCATGAACAAACGTTTTTGTGCATACCTGAGATTCTTCTGAGTGGTACTGAAAAGACTCCAAGTTGCCCATAATGGCAGTCCCCAGAACCGACATGAGAGCCATCTTGTGGTCAGGCACTCTACTTTTCTGCCAAATAACTGCCTGGAGATGAAATGACATACACAACTTTTAACACAACGCAGTTACTAAATTCAAGAACTTATAGTAATTATTTCTATATTTATTAATTTATTTATAGAATGGACTCATGAGCTATAAAGTCTGACAAAACAAACTGTGATTCCAAATTCTAGAAATTGCACAAATTGCATTGCTCAGTATACTCAATTTCCCTTAGCCTCAGTCTTCTGACAAACAGCTGTTTCCTTTTCAGAGTTGTTGAGAAATGAAAATATATAATGTAGGCAAGCACACAGATCATCATGGCATAAAAGTTTCCACTCAATATTCTCTCTTTCTTTCTCATCTTAATCTTCAGAATATGTACTTCAATGTATATGTGGAATTTAAGAGTTACTCCAAATAATTACTATTTTATGGAGGTAGACAGCCATGCAACAAAATTTCTGTAAATAGTTGCATAAGTGAAATATTTTAGAAAAAACATGTACTTTAAAATTATCTTTATAATTACTTTTAATACACAAAGAACTTATAGTCAACTGAATTTCAGAGACAGTCGTGATAAGCTTGTTTTTTTTTTACTACACGCATGTAGTTTAGTAGATTAGGAGAACCATGCATGGCCTAGAGACTAGACCAAAGTCTGACTCTGAAATGCACCATCAGGTTTGATATACTGCAATCTTTTTGGTAATAAGGTCCAATTATAGTCAAATCCCTTAAGAAACTGTCAATACAGAAACAATTCATTTGCTCAACAAATATTCACTTAGCGTTCCCTAAATCTTGATAAACATGCGCAAAGGACCAAGGGAGAGACATCAACATTCAAGAGAGACCAAAAAGGAGTGGCTACAGAAGTAGAAAGAACATTAAAGAGTGACCAAAAAATTTTTTTACAAAAGGAAATGGCTATGTGTACCAATATTTAATTAGTAAACCTCAATTGTGAAGGCAATCTGCCACATACAGGGAAAAGTAGGTTGCACAAAGATGATATACAATGAACAAAAAAAATGCAGTGGGAACAAAACAAAGAGTATATGGTAGTGGCTTAAGTGCAATTGCTATCATTTGAGTGTCTCCTCCAAAACTCATGTTGAAATTTCACTGCCATTTTAACAATGTTAAGAGGAGACACTGAGAAAAATGAAGCTTAAACAAACTGATTTTCCTAAAGAAATACTGTAGGCTGGAATCAAGATGTACACTTAAAATTTTTCTGGCTCTAAACCTATCATTCTTTTTTACTTTACATTTTTTCTCCTCTTGTATGGCAAAGGCACCAATAATCTAGAACCAAATCCAGACTTGAAACAGGAACTCCCCAAAAAGTAAAGTGTCTGACAAATGCATTTTTGAAGTATGAGTACCATGTGATATCCCATGTAATTTCCAGTTACCTTGAGGGATTAACAAATATCTTCAAAAACAAAATTATTTTTAACCTAGTCATTTACAGATACACTATTTTTCTTTAAAAGAAGGACAAGGAATAAAACTGGGGTCCTTAAATCAAAGAAACCTAAAATTTGAATGTCCAAAAAGAGCTGGACATTGTGGGCACCACTGTAGTCTCAGCACTCCAGGGGGCTGAGGTGGGAGCATTGTAAGTTCCAGCCCAGCCTGGGCAATTTAGATTTAGAATATCAAAATATTTTTAAAGGGGGGGGGGAGATGAGCATGTGGTACAGTAGGAAGAGCCTAGGTTCTGTCTCTTGTGCTCCGGGGTGGGAGTGGGGGTAAAGGGAACAAAAAAAAAAAAAAAATCAAAAACCACAATCGTAGTATTTTACAGAACATTTTGGAGAATACAGTTGGTCACATCTAAGGATTTCTAAATTTTCAAAAAATTTTATTCACTAATATTATACAGAAAGAGATGTGGAATAATTAGTCAAAAACAGCAATGCTACAAAAAATTCAGGTATTTTCCCATTCTTAAATTCAACTTTTCACTACCTGCTTCTTAGAAAGTAACCTGTATCAGAAAAAGAACAAAAAATACACAAATCAAAGTATAAAAATAAATTGTACACAATTTTAGAATTAAGAAACATGTTTAATATGGCCATTTCTAAACAATATTCTGTGATGTTTTGTTAACTACATTTATACATAAGGGTTAATAAAAAGACTATTTAAAGTATGAAGTGCCAGGAGATGGATATAAAGACCACAGGCATTTCCAATCCTTTATCAAGTGTCATAATATATAAATATTTGGGTTAATTAAAATTTTTAGAAAAACTCATTTTGAATTTTCTAATAAATGCTTATTGAGCATCTACTTTGTACCAGATTCTAAGCTAAAAAAGAGCCTTGGCTCCTAAAGAACTAAAAACGTAACAAGAAAATGGATCCTAAGTCTGCTGTATACAGAACTTGCTATGTGGGTAAGACTGGAAAAAGGATTTTGCCTCTCTGATTAATTACTCCTGATTTTTTTAAAAAAAAGCACATGCAACACTTTAAAGGATAGTTGGAGATAAGGCTACAGAGATAGGAGAAAAATTATTAATAAGCTAGCACACAATACAGAGTGTTTAGTTTCCTTTATCTGAAATACCCATTTTGCTGGAAAAACCTAATTGGGAAAATAACACAATCAGATGTGAATGTCAGAAAGAGACCTTTGGAAAGATTGGTTTAGTGAGAACTAAAGCTAGAATAACATTGAGTTTAAAAAAAAAAAAAAAAAGACAACTAAAGAAAAAAACGAAATCAAAATGACAGGACCACACTACTCCAACTCAGAGTCTAGCTCCCACCGAGGACATGCAAAATGAAGTTCACATGCAAGGCACTTCGGCAAGGGGCCCTGTGAAAGCGAGTTCCTGCTCTACTACCTGTGATGCTACTGCTTTCTGCTCTTCTACAAGTATAATGGACTGCCTGCCAGTGAATTTACAAGGTTAGCTTTCCAGTTTTTGCTTTTATTTTTAAGGTAAACCACTCACAAAGAAGGGTACTTCACTGGTATTAACACTGTACTCACAATCACCGAGCTGGGTTACAGAACCAGCCCTGATAAGAGGAAAACTGACAGACTAAAAGCTGAGCGCACACTTGAAGTGCTTCAATGACTGACTACACAAATTCCTCCAGCCTCCGGACCTGGGAAACTGGAGAGGCAGTATTTTCATTCAGTGAAACGGAAAATCCGGGTGAAAAGGCTTGGTGGCAAGAGGAAGTTGGGGAGGTCAGCTTGTTTAGTGCGGAGTCCCTGGTACCAAGAACACCTGGTCACCAATTAGGTTCATCAACACTTACTTAAGTTTTCCAGGTTTACTAAGTTAAATCATTACACCATTCCCACCTACTCTACTGCATGGATATGCATTTGAACTATCCTTTCATCAGCTGATGGGTATTTAGATTGTTTCTATGTTTCAGAACTATGGATAACAAGACTTTGAGTGGACACAGGTTTTCATGTCTCTTGCATATATACATAGGGGTAGAATTGCTGGGCTATATGTTTAACTTTTGAAGAACTGCCACATATGCACACAAGGATTTTTTGTGTAGCAGCTCTTCAGCCAGCCAGCAGCTGATGAGTGCCTGAAAATATTCAAAACTAACAGAAAGTACATAAGGTTCTGAATAGTCGGCTTGATGGGAGTGAAATGACCCACAGTAGAAGTCCCTTATAATAAGGAAGTGTTGCATAATGAATACTTATTCACAAAAAATGTTCACTTTAAAGCTGTATCAGCTCTCAGATATGCACACACATATATGCAACACTCCCTCATGCATACACGAAGAAACATTCTCTCTTGCTCTCGCTCGCTCTCATAGTGCTGGGGATCAAAGCCAATGCCTCATACATACTAAGCAAGCAGTCTACCATTAAGCAACATCTCAATGATAAATATATATACATATACATAATAGAAAACATTTCAAGAAACTAATGCCTTAAAAGTAATGCACTAATGAGTATAAATATAGGTACAATTGCTTTATAAACATATTATTTCTATTACAGTGATGCTTCAGGTACAGGTATAAATCTCAGCTGCTGATTAATGGAAGTCTGCTATTTCACAGTGTTCCTTACAGAATACAGAATTGTGGAAATATTAGTTCAATAACTGGGTTCTGGAAAAGCTATCAAGTATCAGAACAGGAAATGTGATTTAGAAGTTCTTTCTATTTTAAAGGGAACACTGCTGCTAGTAACATAGATGACTTCACACTGGTCAATTATTGCATCAGGGGCAGGGCATAGGGTGTTTCCAACTAGTTACACTGGGATTAGCAATAAATAATATGCAATTAGCAATAAATAATAAATAAGGTCTGCCAACAGGTAGAATCTTCATACTACTTAAACAATACTTATTTTTAAATCAGAATTCATTATTTTAAAATTAAATTATCAAATGTAATAAAAACGGAATGCAGGAGATATTGAATTTTTAACTATATTTACCAGGGAAAATAGAATGCTTTCTCTACCACTTCATCAATTCTACAAAATTTTCCAAAACAGAGATTATCTTTTCACTTCCTGAAGTTTTTGTACATCTTGCCTTTAGGCTGAAAGCTTAACATGTGCTAAAAATACACACAAATCTCCATATGTTTTCTATCTAGGTCACAGAACGTTGGAGCATCTAGATGTGCCAAGTAAGAATCTGACTCTGGTCAGTATGATGACAGTGCAAAACTACTTCAATCAAAAATATATTATTACACACACACCATCTTAGGTTTGATTGAAGTCAGCCAAATATATCTTGTCCCTTTTCCCTTGTTCCTGCTTCACTGACACACGCGGTTTAAAGAAAATGAAGCCAGGTGATAATACCTAATATTTAACTAGCAAACCTCAAGTGCAAAGGCAATCTGTGATATACAGGGAAAAGTAGGCTGCACAAAGATGATACACAATTAACTAAAAAAAAAGCAATGACAACGCTTTCCCAGATACAAAACAAAGAGTATGTTACTAGATTAAAGTGCAAATGCTCTCATATGAAAGTCTCCTCCAAAACTCATGTTGAAAT